CCCTGAGCCACCGCAGCTCCTTTTTTTTTTTTTGAATCTATTAGCTCTGCCTAAATGCTTGGCCATCTCATCCTAGCCTACCTCAAAGGGTTGTTGTGAGGACGAAATATGATAACTCCATGTGTGTGTGGTTTTTTTTTGAGAAAGGCTGGGATACAAATAGGATAGGGAACAGAGGAAAACTCGGATTGGGTGTCCGGAAATAACTGGGGGGGAGGGTGCTGCTGTAAATACTATGTTCAACAGAAGTTCTGACTCTTGAGCGTATGTATTGTTTTTACAGGCCTGTCAGAAAAAAAAAAACATTTCTCTCAACACCCCCTTCCCCAGTATCCTGCAAAATAAATGGTGGTAATCTCATGAACACTTCCTCTCTGATGATTCTTTTTTTAAAAAAATAATTTTTAAATTACACACTTGATCTTAGCCAAAAGGCCGAGAAGCGATAAATTAATTTTTCAAATATTATAACACACGACAATTTACTGTACTCGTTTTCCCATCGGAACGTATAGATAGAACAAGAATCAGTAGTTAATATTCAGAAACAAAACAATCCTAACAAAATAAACTCAACTAACAAATTGGGTATGTTACCAAGACGAGAACATTAAAACAAGAGTATATTATCACTACCTACTTACTGTTTGTATTTTTGTAACAACATAAACATTTACACATCAAGTTTGATCTGACTTGTCTATTTCCCAGCGTGTCATTAAAGAATCCAGCCCGTTCTTAAGAGGTTACGATATTGACTATTTTGTACAGTTCTAGTCTCTTCTAGTAGAGTTTCCAGCTTTTCCCATGGTGGGTTTTTTTTCCTCCTCCAAGACTCCTTGAATGTTTCCCAAATTGATTGCATTAGTCAGGGGAGGTGGTTTGTATTTCTGGCCTCTTGCACACTATTGGTCTGAGGAGGCCTCCATGCCCAAAAAGAGAGAATGAGTTTTTTTTGCTGAGCTGTGTAAGAAACACATTTATACCTCCTCGGTGAACCAGCTGCCTGTGGCTTGCCAGTTGCTCCTGTCCTCCCACCAGTGCGGTCTGTTTTTCTCCTTGGGACTTAGGTGAGCCCTTTGCATGCCTCTTACTGACCCCACTTGCTGTTTAAGGGGGGGGGAAGGAACAGAAATGCTGTGGTTTTTAGATTAATGATGTTTGGATGGGGGGGGGGTAAGGTCCTAAGCCTCATGGTTGAAAAAAAAAGATGCTCCCAGCTCCTTTCAGTCTTTTCTCTTTAGCCTGTCACAATTATTGGTTTCATTGGACATGGTCCCTTCCTGTCTCTTCCTGGGCTGCCCTTTTCCTTTAAATAAAAGGGCTTTGGTTCTCAGAATTCAGAGACTCAGATCTTCCTTCTGATCAGACCTCGGGCCCGTATGTTAAGGAGCCTGGAAGGTGGGTGTAAATTCACGGAGTGAAACTTGAGCTGCTACAATGTACTCAACTCAAAATCTCCCCCTCCCCCCATAAAAACATTTCCAATAGATGAAGCTGGGCAAAAGGGTGCCTGAATGAAGCTACTTGGCGTAACATATCTAATAAGCGTGTTCTCTGTGCACAAGCAATTTTTGACTGTCGGGAGCAAATAAAACTATGTTGTGTTAAAGAGAAAGAGGAAGATATAAACGAGCACTTAGGGTTGTTGTTTTTTTGTATCTGTCGGCAACAAAAAAGGGGAAGCGTTTTGTTTGTGCGGTCCGAGTGATGCTCTTACAAGCGCTGCGCACACGTTTCTCGTACGTCAAGCACTCTCCCATTTTTACCTTTGCCACCTGTGCTCGCCACAGTGACTTCTCTGCTGCCCTGAATTGTCGGAAAAGCCCCACAACACAAGGAGACAGCTGCAGTTCCTTGAGAGCCATTTTTAGAAGCACTTTCTTCTCAGTAATGGGATAGGCCCTACACATTTTTCAGGATAAGATTTCCAGCTATTCATTGCCTTCAGGATCTCCTTTCTGGGAATCTTTTAACTCCTCCCCCCCCCACACCCCATTCCAAGCCTAATAGACCCCAGTGTTTTGAGGCAAGTAAGCGGAAATTAGTTAGCATAGCAATAAATGAGGGGGGAGAGAGCTCACGTTTTTTTGTATTTATTTCAAGCATTTCTACCCTGGTTTTCAGTAGTAGTAGTAGTGTTTATTACGGTCAGAGACCCATCGCACAGCATACAGAATCAAACAAGACAGTCCCAGGTTCCCTGGTTTTCAAATATCACAGTGGCATCCTAAACTGAGTTACACCAGTGGCCTCCTAAGCTGAGTCTGTTCATTGACTTTAATGGATTTAGAAGGGTGTAACTCTGTTTCGGATTGAACGGTTAATGCCCAACATGGCTTATAATTCTTAAACACAGTAGAAAACAAGATACTCAAGACTACTTAAAAGGAGGGGGGGGGGATTATCTGAACATCACAGGCTCTTAAACGGAATGCATTTTTGTTGTTACAAAATGCTACAATATTGATCTCAAGACATCAGTCAAATGGAACCTTGTGATGTTATGGATTGCAATAAAAACACCAATCAGCCAATGACTGATCTCGTTTCAACACACACACAATGCCTAGTTAAGCTATAATGCAAATTGGTCCTGGGGGACTAAGAGAAACTCTTGCTTACTGTCACCTTTTCACTGTATCTGATTATATACCTCACTCACTTATTGCTATGTTAACTGAACTTACTATCTTGATAATGGGCAACATCACTAGTTTTTTATTATTAAGACTGCTATATCGGTAATCAAATATGACACTTTGTATGTAATGTTGTTGAAATCTGTTTATTGTTGAAAATCTAATAAAAAGACTTTAATT